TCTACATCTTGTTATCTCAGATTCTCCAGCATCTGCAGTTCCTTCTATCTCTTTAAACTATTGTGTTAATCTTGATGTATCTGAATCTGTGTCATTGAACTCATGAACTTGGCAACTCGTGGTGTTGAGTTCTGTTTCAATGAAACAACCATATATGGCCAAATAGATGGCATTGATGTGGTATCCCCTTTGGACCCAGTTCTTGCTTACACCTTTGCTGTGTACAGTAAGAAGCGCATTTTTGACAGAAAGATCACTAACCTCTATCTCTTGCATACTTCTGAAATGTAGATGAGATGTTCACAATATTTTAATCTGTAGATGACTGCAGTAAATAATTTCTTTATTCAGCTTAATAAATTTCATCTGACCATTGCAATGAACCAATCAAATGAACACTCCTTCCTCCATGTTTTAGTTGAGAAGTCAGCCAATAAGCTCTCAACTGCTAAACACTGAGAGCCAATGTTCACCTATCAATGTACGATATATGTTACAGTTTCTACAGTCCCATGTACCACAAGGTCAATCTTATTGGCAACTTCTGAGCAGAGCCCCAGCTATCTGCTCACCCTAATGTTAAGATGGGACATATCAAAACTATCCTGTATGATAACAAATGTCCTGATCAAATTATCTCTCATTGTATCTCTCATGAAAGGGCTTACAACCAACATTCTGGACCCTCAGCCATGCCCAGTCTGCCTCAGGTCATGCTGCAAGGGGAAGGGCTCTTAAAAGTTTGAACATTAAATGAAGCAAGCTGACTCACGCTGCTACTATATAAAAAATTCACAAGCAGTTATCTCCACTAACAGGATGCTGCCATGAAGCCAAAAAGATATTTTGTCCACCACACAAATGAATAATGTGATAATATGAGTTTCAGTGACAGCGTGATGCCAGGCTTGTGGGCTGTACATCCCAATGACTGGCGGATTGTTTCAAACATGGCCCATTGACCATTCACAGCGGGCAGCATGACACTCATGCTCAACCAGCTTGTGCTTGCTAGCCTCAGAAAAGTATAAAAACCATTATCCATGGGAATCACTTATTAAATAATCCAAACTGTTGATTTCATGATGCTTGGTACAGGCCTCGGGTTACTTTCAAACCATACAGACAACATAGGTTATAAAATAGATCTTTCTCATTTCAGTCCACGTATTTTAATAAACCAATGCCCAAACAAGGAACAAGAGTAGGCCACTCAGCCTTTCAAGCCTGCTCTGCCATTCAATAAGATCGTGGCTGATCTGATCTTAACCTCAACTCTACATTCCTGAGTATCTCCGATAATCTTACACCCCACCCATCACATTAATCATCAAGAATTTCTCCACCTCTTTCTTAGAAATATTGAAAGATTCTGCATCCACTGCCTTTTGAGGAAGTGAATTCCAAAAACTGACAGCCCTCTGAAAGAAATAAGAAGTTTCCTCATCTCGGTTTTAAATGAACGCTATCTTATTTTTAAATTCTGACCTCTTATTCTAGATTCTCCCACAACAAGAAACATCCTGTCCATATCCTTCCGGTCAAGTCCCCTCAGGATTCTATCTCTTTGAATGAAGTCACTTAGACTCTTCTAAACTCCAGAGGATACAGGCCTAGCCTATCTAACCTTTCCTTATAAGGTAATCCACTCATTCTAGGTATTAATCTAGTAATCCTTCTTTGATCTACTTCCAACACATTAACATCCTTACATAAGTAGTCAGTATTCTAGATATGGTATCACTGATGCTCTGCATAACAGAAGCATAACCTCCCTACATTCTTTTAGCTTTCCTGATTACTTGCTGTACCTGTACACTAACCTTCTGCGATTGATGCTGTAGGTCAGCCAGGTCTCGCTGTATCCCCAACCTCTGCAATCTTTAAGATAACATGCTTCTTTATTCTTTCTCCCAAAATGGACAGTTTCACACTCCCAACATTGTACTCCATTTGTTAGATCTTTGCCCACTCACTAATCTATCTAATATCCTTTTGTAGGATAAATTGCCAAAAGGTTAAGTCATAAGTCAAGAGTGATGATGTGGAGGTGCAGCTGGTGGACTTGCGTGGACAAAGTCAGAAGTCACATGACACCAGGTTATAGTCAAATCACAAGCTTTCGGAGCTCTGCTCCTTTGTCAGGTGACAAAATTAAGAGGCCATGGTGTTGGCGGTAGTATATTGGCATGGATAGAGAATTGGCTACTGGGTGCGAAACATTAAGTGGGGATAAAGGGTTCTTTTTGATGTTGGTGACCTGTGACCAATGGGGTTCCATACGGATCACTACTAGGACATCAACTGTTTACAATATATATTAATGACTTGGAGGAAGGAAGTGAATGTACTGCAGCCAAATTTGCAGATGACACAAAAATAGAGGGAAAGGCAAGTTGTGAGAAGGATGCAAACAGCTTACAAAATGATTTTTAAAAAAGCGTTTGGCACTCTTGCCTTCATCAGTCACAGCATTGACTACAGGAGTTTGGACATCCTGTTACATCCATAGAAGACACTGATGAGGCCACATTTGGAGTACAATATACCATTCTTGTCTCCCTGCTTTGGAGAGCTGTTATTAAACTGGAAAGGTTGGAAAAGAGATTTACAAGGATAATACCAAGACTGGAAGATTTGCGTTATGGGGAGAGGCTGGATAGGCTCGAACTTTTTTGCCTGGAGCATAGGAGGCTATGGGGTGACCTTGTACAGGTTTATAAAATCATGAGGGGCATAGGTCTATTCTCCTGGGTAGAGGAGTCTAAAACTTGAAGGCATAGGTCTAAGGTGAGAGGGGAAGGTTTAAAAGGGACCTGAGGGGCAACTTATTCACACACAGGGTGCTGTATGTATGGAATGAGCTGGCAGAGGAAGTGGTGGGGGGGCAGGTACAATTACAACATTTAAAAGGCATTTGGACAGGTGCAGGGATAAGAGAGGTTTAGAGGGATATGGGCCAAAGGCAGGCAAATGGGACCAGTTCAGTTTAGGAAATCTGGTCAACATGGATGAGTTGGGCTGAAGGACCTGTTTCTGTGCTGTATACCTCTATGACTCCATAAAGATACTGATAGGTTAAATTAGTGGGCAAAAAGTTGGCAAATGGCGAATTATGCGGGAAATAAGTGAAGTCATTCATTTTGGAAGGAAGAACAAAAGAGCAGAGTATAATTTAAATTGAGGAAAATTCTATAAAACTGCACCACAAAAGGACTTGGGGGTAATTGTGCTAGAAACACAGAAAGCTAGCACATAGATGCAGCAAGTAATCAGGAAGGCTAATAGAATGTTGACACTTATTTCAAAGGGGTTGGAGTAAAAGAGTAGGGAAGTCTGACTGCAAAAAGCTGATAACGAGACCACACCTGGAGTTTTGTGAACAGTTTGATCCCCTTATTTAAAGCATGATAGCATTCATTGGAGACAGAAAAGATTCACAAGAATGGTCCCTGGTATGGAGGGGCTGGCTTATGAGCAAAGGCTAAACAGTTTGGGACTCTACTCAGAGGACTTTAAAAGAACGAGAGGTAATCTCATTGATGCATATCAGATTCTTAAGGGGCTTGACAGGATAAATGCTGAGAGGATGTTTCCCCTCACTGGAGATTCTAGGACCAGAATATATAAGATCAGAAGTAAGCAGTGATAATTTAAGACTGAGATAAGGAGGAATTTCTCCTCTCAGAGGATTGAGAATCTGTGGAACTTCTTGCTAGAGACTTGTGGAAGCAAAATCCTTGCAAAGCTGTAAACCTGAAAGGAACACAGAAAATGCTGGCTGTACTCAACGGGTCTGGTGTCATCTGTGGAAATCTTGACATCTGAGATCTTGGCATGAGCATTGTTTCGCTCTCTTCACAGATGCTGCCAGACCAGCCAAGAATTGCCAACCCTCACTGTTTAATGTACTCTGAAGTCCAGCCACAGTAAGATGAATGTGATGGTCAAATGATGCACAGTAAGATCCCACAAACAGCAATGAGAAGATTGAATTGCTCTGGTGGTCTAGGTTGCAAGACATATGTCTTTTGAGAAGAGTCAGGAAATATCATTGTCCTACAGTGGAAGAAACACACTGTGCGATTCCTCATTTGCGTTTCTGGAAGATGCAACATATCTCTACTTTTGAATTTCTAGTGTAGAAACATAATGCCACAAATGAGCCTCCAGCCCTTCTATTTATTTTCTCACCCAATCAATATATCTTTCCATTCTGTTTGTCCTCATGTACTTGCTTGACTTCCCTTTAGAATATCTGGGTAGAGTTTCACATTGACTCCAAGATTGCCAGACCTGCTGATCTTTTGCAGCAACTTCTGTTTTTGTTTCTGACTTACAGCACCTGCGGTTCTTTTGGTTTTTATCTAGATTAAATATAAGCTGCTGCAGCCCTTATTGCATTCAGTTGTTGAAATATTTTTCATCCTTGTTAAAAGATCATCCTACAGAATATATAGAGGCCCTCCACCTATTCTGACTCTTTGAAAAAAAACTATCTAGTTATTTCCACTAGGCTGTACTTTTCCCATAGCTATACATTCCATCTGTCCTTCAAATGCCCCATTTATTCCACCTATACCACTCTTTTGAGCAGTGCATTTTGTATGTTAAACATTATTTGCACAAAAATCTTCTCATCTCACCTCTAGGTCATTAGCTAATTATCAGAAATCTTTGCCATCAGATTAATGATCTTCTTGCTTGTGGAAACAGCTATTTACTTACCTATCAAAACCCTTGCAAGCTTGAAAAGCTCCATCAAATGCCCCCTCGCTCTTCTCTGCTCTATCCCAGCTTCTCTAGTTTCTCATTGTGACTGAAATTGATTTGCCTGTTCCTGACAGAACATGTCAATTACACTTTAAAAATTCTGCACTTTGCAACATCTTACTGTTCTTACCTGACATGGAAGCCACGTTGATAATACTCCCACCTTTCCCACCACGGTCACACCTCATATGGTCCAAAGCCAGGTAACTTGCTTGTATCAATGCCACCTGCGTAGGAAAGCACAAAGACTGTTGTAAAACTGATTGAGTTGTTTAGACACAACCAAATATGCACAAGAAGTCCCATTCATTTTTTACCCCGTGATTGCTGACCTACATTGGCTTCTAGTATGGCAATACCTCATTGTTAAAATTCTTATCAATATCTTCAAATTTCTTTGCCCTCCCTGCCTCTGTAACATCCTCCAAAACCCTGAGAATTCCATCCTCCTCTGATTTGGACAGCTCATACATTTATCACCCCATCATGCTTTGAATTGCCAATGTCCTGGGTTCTGGTGTTGCCTTCCTCTATCTCACCATGTCCGAAAGTCTCTTTTTCTCCTTTAGTGTGTTCCTTACGGATTATTTCTTTGACTTTTGATCAGCTGTCGTCATGTCTCCTTAGGTGGCTTGCTGTCAAAATCTATTTGAAAATACTCCTGTGAAGCATTCTGAGATGTTTTATCATGTTAATAGTGGTAAACAATGGCAAGTTGTTGTTGTTCAGAGCAGCTGGAGCCCTTCCCTTACAAGAGCTCAATTCAGAGTTTTTATTCTTGTTACCTCTTCCCCCTTTCTTCAATGGATTACTCAAAGTGTACTACGTTTTTTTCAGATTCCTTCAATGGATGTGGACATCATCAGCAAAGTCAGCATTTGCTGCCTATCAACTGAATGGGTTGCTCACTATTTTAGAGAGCCATACTGCTGTGTGTCTGTAGTCAAACATAGGCTATACCAGGTAAGAATGGCTTATTTTATTTTACTCTTTTGTGTTTTTTTTAATTCACTTATGGGATGTGGGCATCGCTGGCTGGCCAGCATTTATTGCCCATCCTTAGTTGCTCTTGAGAAGGGGGTGATGAGCTGCCTTCTTGAATTGCTGCAGTCCATGTGCTGTAGCTAAACTCACAATGCTGTCAGGGAGAAAATTCTAGGATTTTGACCAAGCGACAGTGAAGGAACAGTGATATATTTCCAAGTCAGGATGGTGAGTGGCTTGGAGGAAAATTTGCAGGTGATGGTGTTCCCATGTATCTGTTGTCCTTGTCCCTCTAGATGGAAATGGTCATGACTTTGGAAGGTGATGTGTGAGGATCTTTAGTGAATTTCTGTGCTGCATCATGTAGATAATATACACTGCCTCAACTGAGCATTGGTGGTGGAGGGAGTGGATGCTTGTGGACATGGTGCAAATCAAGGTCCTGGGAAATGTTGCCAAACAAAGAGACCTTGGGGTGGAAGTTTATAGTTCCTTGAAAGTGGAGTTGCAGGTAGACAGGGAATTGAAGAAGGCTTTTGGCACACTTGCCTTTATTGGTCAATGCATTGCGTATAGGAGTTGGGAGGTCATGTTGCAGCTGTACAGGACACTGGTTAGGCCACTTTTGGAATATTGTGTTCAGTTCTGGTCTCCCTGCTATAGGAAAGATGTTGTTAAACTTGAAAGGGGTCAGAAAAAAATTACAAGGATCTTGCCAGGGTTGAAGGGTTTGAGCTTTCAGGAGAAGCTGAACAGGCTGGGGCTATTTTCCCTGGAGTGTTGGAGGCTGAGGGGTGATCTTATAGAGGTTTATAAAATCAAGAGGGGCATGGATAGGGTGAATAGTCAAGGTGTTTTCCCCAGGTATGAGAGTCCAAAACTAAAGGGCATAAGTTTAAGGTGAGAGGGAAAAGATTTAAAAGGCACCTGAGGAGCAACTTTTTCACGCAGAGGGTGGTGCATGTATGGAATGAACTTCCAGAGGAGCAAGTGGAGGCTGGTACAATGACAATATTTAAAAGGTATCTGGATGGTTACATGAATAGAAAGTGTTTAGAGGAAAAATGCTGGCAAATGGGATTAAGTTGATTTGGAGTATCTGGTCAGCATAGACGAGTTGGACTAAAGGGTCTGTTTCGTGTTGTACATTTCTATGATTCTATGACTCTAAGTGGCTGCTTTGTTCTGGATGGTGTCAAGCTTCCGGGGTGCCATTGGAGTTCCAGCCATCCAGGCAAGTAGGGAATATTCCATCACACTCCTGACTTGTGCCTTGTAGATGGTACACAGGCTTTGGGAAGTAAGAAGATGAGTACTCACTTCAGTATTCTTAGCCTTTGACTTATTTTTGTTTTTATATGGCGAGTCCAGTTGAGTTTCCTCAGGATGTTGACAGTGGGGGTTTCAGTGATGGTAGTATGATTGACTGTTAAGTGGTGGTAGTTAGATTCTCTCTAAGCCTGAGCACATTCCAAGTACAAGATAGTGGCGCAGTAGCGCCGCTGCGCACAAGCTGCTGGCCTGGGGCTTGTCCGCTTCTGTCTGCTTTCTTTGTTTCTTTTTTTACCTTTTTCCTTTTTTTTTGCTTTCGCTCTTTTCTTTTGCTCTCTTTGCAGGTCTTTTTGGCATCTCCAGCAGGGCTAGAGCGGGCCCAGCCTCCCGAGCTTGTGCGGCAGACGTCAGCCCCTCTGACAGAGCGAGGCCTCGGAGAGTTCCCGACGGCAACAACTATGGGCCCAGCGGCGGGAGATGGCGCTAAAATGTGGTGACTTTTACTCCGGTGGGCCCAGCTCAGGACTCGGGGCACTGGCGGCAGCACCGGTTTTTAAGATGGCGGGGAAGCCTCTGTGGTCGGCAAAGATGGTGGCATCCACGGTCGGCAGAATGCCGTAGGCCTGATCGGTACTCTTGGTGGATCAACAGAGTGGCGATGTGGTAGGCCCAGTGTGGTGGTCCTGGTGGTGGAGCAGTGGCAGTGGTAGTTGTCCCAGATTGGAGTCTTGGCATGAACTGTGATGCGGGGGCGTTGGTGGGCATGGAGCCTGTTGTGGAGACCACACACCCCCCCACCCCACATAATATGCAGAGCACAAGAAGGGAGGAAGATCTCTGTTTTTAGTTATATCTTAATATTGTCTGTAACTCAAAATGGCACTGGAGCATGGTGACATATTACAGTTTTCACTATTTATTTATTTAATACGAGTGACGATAAATCATTCAATTCAATTCAATTTTTATTGGAGATGGTCACTGCATGGCATTTGTGTGGCATGAATGTTACTTGCAACTTGTCAACCCAAATTTGGATATTGTCCAGATCTTGTTCATTTGATCATGGACTGCTCCAGTATCTGAGGAGTTGCGAATGGTGCTGAGGATTGTTCAATCATCAGTGAACATCCCACTTCTGACCTTATGATGGAGGGAAGGTCATTGATGAAGCAGCTGAAGATGGTTGGGCAGAGGACACCACCCTGAGGAACTCCTGCAGAGAAGTCCTGGAGTTGAGATGATTGACCTTCAACAACCACAACCATCTTCCTATACACCAGGTATGACTCCAAACAGCAGCGAGTTTGCCCCAATACCCATTGAATCCAGCTAGGGCTCCTTGATACCACACTTGGTCAAATGAGACCTTGATGTCGAGGGCTGGTCAGCCTCACCTCATCTCTAGAATTCAGCTCTTTTGTCCATGTTTGAACCAAGGCTGTAATGAGGTCAGGAGCTGAGGGGCCCTGGCAGAACCCGAACTGGGCATCATTGAGCAGGTTTTGCTGAGCAGGTGCTGCTTGATAGCACCGTTGATGACACCTTCCATCACTTTACTGATGATCGAGAGGAGACTGATGGGGCGGTAATTGGTCAGGTTGGATTGGGGGGAAAGCAGAGTTAATGTTTTGAGTCTGGTGACTCTTCCTCAGAACTCCAGTATTTACAGTTTTTTGTTTTATTTTTGTCTCCAGAGAATTAATCTTGTGTCTAGAATACCAGATCAGTGACTATCAGTTTGCCGCCATCTCCCCCTTTTAATTGGAGCTACTTTGGACGTGGTTTAAGTTCATCTTCAAATACAATCCAAGATGAAGTCAGGAAATTAAAGGCTGCAGACTTGCAGACCATCCAACTTACAAGTTCAGTCAGGCAGTCCAGGTTCCTATGGCAACATGCACTTTTACATGGTCTAAAGTTACGGTTAGTGATGGTGGAGGGTCCTACATGCTTTCCATCACAAGGCTGAGCAGGAATTTGTCTCGTTCTTGCTGCCTGCCCCTGACATTTGTTGGAAGGATTTGCAAGCTTATACACAACCTGTATGGCCACAATCTGAATGGACATTGCTTGGTATCAAGTTATTTTGTGGTACTCAAATCAAGGGCTATGGGATCACATGTGGTTGTGTAGTGGTAATGTCACTGGACTATGAATCCTGTACCCCAAGCTCTGTGGGACATAGGTTCAGATCCCACCATGGCAGATGGTAAAATTTGAATGAAGCAGTAATGTGGAGGTAGGAAGCTGAACTAATAATTCTGATTCTGTTACCACAGTATCTGTGGTGGAGCATTGAGAATAGACAGTAGAGCGAGATAAGCAGAGGACCCATCAAAAACTGTTGAATTTTCAACTTACTCCTTCATTTTCCTAGTTTAAACTACAAAAGACTTTAACGTAAACTTCTACCTATTTTTTATTTTTCTATGATTCTATGAAGTAATGCTTAACTTTTTAACTCTTGTTTCTCTCACTATTTTGTACCTAAGTTTTTTTTTGTACCTTGGTAGCTTGGTATCTAAGATGGCAACATTTGTGATGACATTATACACTTTTCACTCTTCTCTTGCAATTCTGTACTTGAGTACACATGACAATAAAATCTAATATTTAAAAAAAAATCTGGTTCACTAGTTTCCTTTTCAGAAATCCTTACCAGGTCTTATGTAGAAAACAGACGTGGGCCATTTGGCATTTTGAACTAGCTCCATCATTCAATATGATCATAGCTGATCATCCTACTCAGTTCCTGCTTTCACCCCACATCCTTTAGCACTAAGAACTATATCTAACGCCTTCTTGAAACCATTCAATGCTTTAGTCTTAAATACCTTCTGTGGCAGAGAAATCCACAAACTCACCACTCTCTGGGTAAAGAAATTTCTCCTCATCTCAGTCCTAAATGTTAGACACTGTATCTTCAGACTGTGAACTTTGGTTCTGGGAGCATCCTTCCTCTGTTTTTCCTGCCAGGGCTGTTAAAATTTCATAAGTTTCTGAGCAATATGCCCCTATTCTTCTAAACTTCAGTGAATATTGTCCTAGTCAATATAGTCTCTTTTCATACATCAGTCCTGCCATTCCAGGGATCGGTATGTTAAACATTTGTTGCACTCCCCCCATGGTCAAAATATCCTTCCTCAGATAAGAAGAGCAAACTACACATGAGACTTCACATGTAGTCTTGCCAAAGCCTATACGTAGCACTTTAATGTTTGTTCGGTTGCCCCATAGATGAAGCTAAATTATGAGCATGAAGTCCAACTAGATACAGTCTTAAAATTGCCTACTGAATTCATGGCATTGTTCAACTGCAGTAAGATATACCTGCTCCTGTACTCAACAAACATCTTCATGTGAGTACGAACCCACTGTGTGGTTGACTCTTAACTGTTCTCTGGATAATTAGAAATGGGCAATAAATTCTGGCCTAGTTGGCATAGCCCATGAACAAATAAAAACAAATTAGTCTATGGGAAATAGTACTGACAACAGCTCCTTTATATCGGTGAGACCAAGCGGAGGCTCGGAGACCACTTTGTTGACCACCTGTGCTCTGTTCGCGACAAACAACAACACCTTCCAGTCGTGAACCACTTCCACTCCCTGGGCGACATGTCCATCCTGGGCCTCCTCCAGTGTCACAATGACGCCGCCCGGAAACTGGAGGAGCAATACCTCATATTCCGCCTTGGAAGCCTACAACCCAATGGTCTCAACGTGGACATTACTAATTTCAAAATCTCCCCACCCCCAGCCTCATCCCATGACCAACCCGCCCTCTCATCCCCACCTCCTTGACCTGACACAACTTGACAATCTTCTCCCACCTATCCGCCCCCACTTCACTGACCAATCCTCACCACTCCCTACCTGCACTCACCTATCACCAACCCACCTACCTTCCCCAGCCCCACACCTCCTCCCTCTATTTATTTTGGAGCTCCCTTCCCCTCCCCATTTCTGAAAAAGGGTCCGGAACCATAATGTCAGCTTTCCTGCTCCTCTGATGCTGCCTGGCCTGTTGTGCTCCTCCAGCTCCACACTGTGTTATCTCTGACTCTAGCATCTGCAGTTCTTACCATCTCTGACAACACTATACTGTTAGCTGCTACACGAGTCCACTAACACACCTTCAATCAATAAAAGACCCGTAAATTGTCCCTTTCTATAGTTGTTTACCAGTCAGATAAAGTTTATGATTATTCAGGCAATAAATAAAACTTGGACTAGAACCTTTACTGAAAAGATATTGGTGCAACTTCCTTCAACATATACACCTCATTGTGAAAACATCTCACATCACTTCCCCTGGCCTATCAGAGTGCAATGATTTATTGCTGTGCAAAATGCCACAGACCTCCTCAATCAGTAAGATCTTATGTGCAGTAATGAAGACAGGAATAGGAGAACACCATTCTGCTCCTTCAGCTTAGAAGCAAACCACTGCAGATGCTGGAGTCTGTACTGAAAACAAAAAAATCACACCAGGTCAGGCAGCATCCATTGCAAGAGAACAAGCTAACGTTTCGAGTCGAGATGATTCTTCACCAGCTTCGACGCTGCCTGACCCACTGTGGTTTCTAGCATTTTTTGATTTCAGAATTGTTCCTTCAGCCTGTTTTGCTATTAGATTATATTAGAGCTGCTCTGAATCTAAATTTCTTGCACCTGCTATGGTTCCATAACCCTTTGCTTCATAAAATAAATCTCTTTTGACATTCTCAAATATCTTCCTGGCCTCAACAGATTTCTGCCAACCTTTACCTTGCAAAGTGTTTCCTGAAATCATCCCTCAACCAACTTGCTCTTATTTTGGTAATATCCTCCTAGTTCTGGATTTTCCCAACAGAAGAAATGGCTTCCCTTTATCTAAATAAAAAATGAAAGAACTGTGGATACTGTAAGTCAGAAACAAAAACAAAGTTGCTGGAAAAGCTCAGCAGGTCTGGCAGCATCTGTGAAGGAAAGAACAGAGTCCGGTGGGTCCAGTGATCCTTCCTCAGAACCTTCCTCAGAACTCCCTTTATCTACTTTGTCAACTCCTCAAATCATCTTAAGCGCCTTAGTTAGTTTATCGTTATCAAACCTGTCAACTCCTTGAATATCTCAAGAACCTCAGTTAGTCCAATATTTAATCTTGAGTGGAGTGGTCAAGTCTAGTTTGTGCAACCTGTCCTCATAATTAAATTCTACTCCCTCTGCTCTCATTCTGGTTAATCTTTGCTCTACCTCAGCAATTCCCATACTTTTTTCTGACTGTGACCCCATTTCAAGGTTTGAAGATCACCACAGCCACAGTGACAATTATGGGACTGGGGTGTTGGGCAAAGGGAAGAGTGATGGAGGTTAATTTGAAAAGAAGACAGCTTAATCTTCTGAAATTTTTTGAACAACTACACTTTTCTTTAGAAAGCATAGGTCAGGCCTCAAGGCTTCAACCCCTTCCAAACCAGCACATCCTTCTTGAAATGGCCAGCTTAGCTGAGGGAGAGCAGTATCCGTGCAGAAATCCAGTCAGGTTAATGGGCAGCTATTGAAGGAATGATTTCAAGTCAGGTTTTTCTGTAAGTTTTGTTTTAAAGTCCCTGATTTATTCAGATAGACTTGGCAACGAAATGTCATTCCATCGTACAATACTTACCAGGTTGACAGAAATGGTCCTTTCCCAGGAATTTTCATTGTTTATTCCAGCATTATTGCACAGTACATCTAGTCTTCCAAACGTCTGCACCGTTTCACTAAAAACATCTGGAAGAAACGGTGAACGGTTTTTGATTTGTTTGATCAGATTTAAAAACTGCAATTTCCCTGTAGCTTTCAACAATGGATGGACATGGAAAATGTTTGGATCGCTGGAAGATTCCAAGATATCATGAACTCATGTGGCTTGGGGTTGCTTAGTATGCCATTTTAGTTCATCCTCGAGTGAAATTCCTACCTATGCTGCGTTGTGTGGAAAGAATAACAGGCTAACGCTTCACTTGTGGATTCTTTGTCAGTTCATAGAATCCTGACAGTGTGGAAGCAGGCCATTCTGCCTATTGAGTTCACACTGACCCTCCAAGAGCAGCCCTCCCAGCCCCCTCCCCTATCCTGTAACTCTATATTTCCCATGGCTAATCCCCCTAACTAATACATCCCTGGACACAATGGGCAATTTAGCATGGCCAATTCACCTAACCTGCACATCTTTGGACTGTGGGAGGAAACCCATGCGGACACGGGGAGCATGTGTAAACTCCACACAGACAATTACCCTAGACTGGAATCAAACCCAGGTCCCTGGTGCTGTGAGGTAGCAGTGCTAACCACTGTACCATCATGCCACCTGTTCAGAAAGAACATGGGTGACCTCTGATATGTAATTGTTGGTTCTTTCCATGCATCCTAAATGGGCAGGAGAGAGATTCCTGTATTTCCTGCTTCACAAACTTTTCTTTCTAACTCACAAAACTATTAAGAAGGTCCATTTCGGTTCCGTACCCTTGCCACCTTCCCACTGGAGGGGCACAGTTAAAGGTATGATGTCTCTCGTTATCTGGAGGCCTGTTTCATTTGGATAGCTGGCTGAATCAATAATGTCTGGAAGATGAGATCTAGCATCACCTTGAGGCAGCCCTTTAGCTCTGGGTCGCCACTTGAACAAGTCAGCCGGCCTGAAGGTGTGGGTAGGAGGGAGGCCTATGTCAATACGGCATTGGCGGTAGGGGTAAGGGAGATTGGGGTGGGGGGGTGGAGTTGAGCTGATGGAGAACCAGAATTGCACTGGACTGTGCTAGTTTCTCCCAGAGGCTGAGAAGCTCTGGCTACACCTTACCATCAATACAAAAGAGGATCTCACCTTCGGAGGTCTGCAACCCACTTTCCAGTGAGGAAACAGACTCCATCCAGTTCAATGCAAAACTGGTGTTCAGAATCCCACATCTATCTTAGGACCTCAAATTGCATTTTGCCTGGGGCTAATGTTTGACTCTTGACTCAAGACTCCACCCCAATCGTGCTAGTTTAGGTCCGAAGTAACAACACTTGGGTAGCTATTTTTAACTTATGACTGGCCTGTGACCACTAGATATGAGATCTTAACATTCACCACCACTAAAGTTAAAGTTGGACTTTAGGAGTTTAGTACCCGTAGACAGGCTATAGTCAGAAAAAAAAAACAAAAACAATGTTGCTAGAAAAGCTCAGCAGGTCTGGTAGCATCTGTGAAGGAGAAAACAGAGTTAACATTTCGGGTCCGGTGACCCTTCCTCAGAACTCTTCCTATAGTCAGAAAAAGCTGCTTTTTCTCTTACACACACACACACACACACACACACACACACACACACACACTCTCATACACACACACACTCTCACACTCTCTCACAGACACACACACACTCTCTCTCACACACACACACACTCACACACACTCACTCACACTCGCATTCACAC